GATCACATGATGGGGGTCCTGGGCATAGTCATACGTAAGAGGGATCACATGATGGGGGTCCTGGGCATAGTCATACGTAAGAGGGATCACATGATGGGGGTCCTGGGCATAGTCATACGTAAGAGGGATCACATGATAGGGGGTCCTGGGCATAGTCATACGTAAGAGGGATCACATGATAGGGGGTCCTGGGCATAGTCATACGTAAGAGGGATCACATGATGGGGGTCCTGGGCATAGTCATACATAAGAGGGATCACATGATAGGGGGTCCTGGGCATAGCTGTAGGTTACACAGTGTACACAGACCCCACTTTATGGAAACTTTCTGTATTGGTGGCATTACATTGGTCAGTCAGATCAGGGGGCTCATTGGCAATTTAATAACATTGGCGGTTGGATGAGGGGGGGTCATTGGCGGTATCACATTGGGCGGTTGGATGAGGGGGGGTCATTGGCGGTATCACATTGGGCGGTTGGATGAGGGGGGGTCATTGGCGGTATCACATTGGGCGGTTGGATGAGGGGGGGTCATTGGCGGTATCACATTGGGCGGTTGGATGAGGGGGGGTCATTGGCGGTATCACATTGGGCGGTTGGATGAGGGGGGGTCATTGGCGGTATCACATTGGGCGGTTGGATGAGGGGGGGTCATTGGCGGTATCACATTGGGCGGTTGGATGAGGGGGGGTCATTGGCGGTATCACATTGGGCGGTTGGATGAGGGGGGGTCATTGGCGGTATCACATTGGGCGGTTGGATGAGGGGGGGTCATTGGCGGTATCACATTGGGCGGTTGGATGAGGGGGGGTCATTGGCGGTATCACATTGGGCGGTTGGATGAGGGGGGGTCATTGGCGGTATCACATTGGGCGGTTGGATGAGGGGGGGTCATTGGCGGTATCACATTGGGCGGTTGGATGAGGGGGGGTCATTGGCGGTATCACATTGGGCGGTTGGATGAGGGGGGGTCATTGGCGGTATCACATTGGGCGGTTGGATGAGGGGGGGTCATTGGCGGTATCACATTGGGCGGTTGGATGAGGGGGGGTCATTGGCGGTATCACATTGGGCGGTTGGATGAGGGGGGGTCATTGGCGGTATCACATTGGGCGGTTGGATGAGGGGGGGTCATTGGCGGTATCACATTGGGCGGTTGGATGAGGGGGGGTCATTGGCGGTATCACATTGGGCGGTTGGATGAGGGGGGGTCATTGGCGGTATCACATTGGGCGGTTGGATGAGGGGGGGTCATTGGCGGTATCACATTGGGCGGTTGGATGAGGGGGGGTCATTGGCGGTATCACATTGGGCGGTTGGATGAGGGGGGGTCATTGGCGGTATCACATTGGGCGGTTGGATGAGGGGGGGTCATTGGCGGTATCACATTGGGCGGTTGGATGAGGGGGGGTCATTGGCGGTATCACATTGGGCGGTTGGATGAGGGGGGGTCATTGGCGGTATCACATTGGGCGGTTGGATGAGGGGGGGTCATTGGCGGTATCACATTGGGCGGTTGGATGAGGGGGGGTCATTGGCGGTATCACATTGGGCGGTTGGATGAGGGGGGGTCATTGGCGGTATCACATTGGGCGGTTGGATGAGGGGGGGTCATTGGCGGTATCACATTGGGCGGTTGGATGAGGGGGGGTCATTGGCGGTATCACATTGGGCGGTTGGATGAGGGGGGGTCATTGGCGGTATCACATTGGGCGGTTGGATGAGGGGGGGTCATTGGCGGTATCACATTGGGCGGTTGGATGAGGGGGGGTCATTGGCGGTATCACATTGGGCGGTTGGATGAGGGGGGGTCATTGGCGGTATCACATTGGGCGGTTGGATGAGGGGGGGTCATTGGCGGTATCACATTGGGCGGTTGGATGAGGGGGGGTCATTGGCGGTATCACATTGGGCGGTTGGATGAGGGGGGGTCATTGGCGGTATCACATTGGGCGGTTGGATGAGGGGGGGTCATTGGCGGTATCACATTGGGCGGTTGGATGAGGGGGGGTCATTGGCGGTATCACATTGGGCGGTTGGATGAGGGGGGGTCATTGGCGGTATCACATTGGGCGGTTGGATGAGGGGGGGTCATTGGCGGTATCACATTGGGCGGTTGGATGAGGGGGGGTCATTAGGGTGGGGGGGGTCATTGGCGGTATCACATTGGGCGGTTGGATGAGGGGGGGTTATTGGTGACATCACAGTACAATGACATCATGGTGGTTGTATGTTTCTCCCCCAGCCCGGCACACGCGTGTCACACTGTACGGAGTTTGATCCCAGCGGGATGGGGCAGGACATTTGGAAAGACCTTCTAGAAGACGGACGTCTGGACTCCACCAGCAGTAAGTAGGAAGTGTCGTTGTCTTCATCAGCGAGGCATCCACCAATCAGGGAGCAGATCGTTCTCTAGCTGGACACTCCCCCCACCACCCCTCAC